GTGGTTTTATTATAAAAATTGATCAGGAAAGTATAAAGCCTCTGGTGAGTCAGCGCTGCCCATAAGGGAGTATGTAGTATGAATGGAGCAGTGATGGCTGCTGAGGCATTTGGGAATAGCTTTTCTAAGTCTTCCGCAAGAAAGATGCAGGGGGAAAGAATGTTTCTCCTGTGTTAAATGACTTGGTGGCTCATATAAGATTGGCAACATTGGGATCCTGGTAAGTGTGTTTTTTTGTTTTTTGTTTTTGGGGTTTTTTTGTTTTTTGTTTGTTTGTTTTTTTTAGGACTCCACTAGCCTTCACCTTGATATGATGGAAGCTTTCTTTTCTAATTTCAGTACTCCCCAATTACGGTAATGTCCAAGTCCTAATAAAGCACATGGGGTTGATATCCATGCTGAAGGAAGAATAGGCATGGTCATTATCTTTCTCTCTGCAGGTGGATATCTTTCCCGACAGTTAACCCGAAAGTTAAAACACAAGCCAAAAGACCTTGCCCTACAGAGTTTTGCATATGGTACATTGAACCTTTGGGTGAGCAAGGGCTAAATGGCAAATTGAAATGAAAAACCAATGATAGTAGAACTCCTGGGCTGTTCTTTCTGCAAATCTTAATGCAGTGTGGATTGAAACAGTGCAGGGCTGATCTGTAGCTGGTTGGTAGACTCAAGATGTGTAGAGACTCAGCATCTCAGTGACTAAACTGGTTGCACTGAGCACAATCTCTGAAGAATTGGTATGGATGCTGTAATTTATGCCATTGACAAGGATGCACTTGGGAACCTTTGTCTGTGTCTTGTATCTGTTGGAAAAGCTGTGTCTTGAAAAGTTTCACCTAGATTGGAAGCTGAGAAGTTCTTTTCAGAGTCAGTTGATTTCAGAGAAGCATGTAACATTTCTTCCTTTTAGAATTAGAAGAATCCCCCTTAACTGTGAAGAGTGACATGGCTACTATTGTCAAGGTTATGCAGCTACCAGACTCAGGCCTTGAAATCCGGGACAGGATGTGGTTAAAAATTACCATCTCCAATGCAGTGATAGGTAAGCAGATCAAAGGACTGCTGGGGGAGAACTCAGTGGCTTTTTAGAAGTAGGCTGCAGAAACTATCGTTTTATTTTTCTTATCACCTCTTATACTTCCTTTACTTGGTATTTGTGAACAAATGTAATTGTGACAGGAAAGAACCAATAGCTCATTTAAGTCTGGACAGGCAAACGCTGTAAATTTCTCACGCTCACGCACAACTGCTCCTTAATCTTACCTGTAGCTCTGGCTACCTGCCTGAGTTCAGAAGAGCAGCAGTCCTTTTAATTCCAGTCCTGGCCAGCCGTGTAACCTTAATAAAATATTTTAATTATGTTTCAAAATACCACAGCTAGTCTGCCTTTTATTGGAAACTATTCTGTGACCCAAACTGTGCTAACATCCAATAATCTAGGCTGTAGTCACCTTTTGCCTAGAGGAGGATTGGAATGCAGGTCTTTTGACAGCCTAACATCTGCATCCTGAGGAAAGTGACTCTCCCTACCACTTCTGTTCTGTAAATCCCAAGTCCCTTTCATTAGTGCAATTCAGAAGGCATTGAACAGTTTAACAGTAGAATTTTCTGTGCACGTTTTTGGCGTCACTGTTAAATGTAGTATTCAACTGGGTGCAAGATAGTTCTTTGCTTTCTTTGTTAATGTTTGGTGATAATGTGAATTGTTAAACAGCTCTTATTTTTGCTGCAAATTTATTGCAGTTTAGCAGCAGACTGAATGACCTGCTGATCAATTGAATTGTGCAAATGACATATTTTAAGCTCTTTGCAGCAGGATATTTATATATTTGTATTTGTATTCAGTGCCTAGTCTACTTGATAACATGACGATTAAAAAAAAAAATTGACTTGGATGCTTCCATATCTTCTCTCCTTATTCTCATTTTAGGAGCAGATGTGGTTGACTGGCTTTACACGCATGTGGAAGGCTTCAAAGACCGACGAGAGGCTAGAAAATATGCCAGCAGCATGTTAAAACATGGCTACCTCAGGCACACTGTGAACAAAATCACCTTCTCAGAGCAGTGCTATTATGTCTTTGGAGACCTCTGTGGCAGTAAGTTCCCTATCGGTGAAGGGCAAAGCTGCATGTGTGTTGTCTGTTCTGTGCTGGCAGGATGCACAGAAGACCATCCTGTAAGATTTCACAAGTGGGCCATTCAGAGCAGGCCCCTAATCTGAAGTTCCATGAAAAGTGGTTGACGTTTCCTGTTAGACCAGCAACTAGACCATCTAGAAAAGACGGATGAACTCATCAGATAGGGCATTGAACTGGGGCTCGAGAAAACAGGGTTAATTTCTTGGTGATGCCACAGACTTCCTTACTTATCATTCGCACTCAGTTCCCAACCTATAAAATGAGGCTGATTCCTCCCTGACTTAAAGAGATGCTGCAAAGGTACTTTGACTCTCAATGGTAAGTTTTCATGTCTGCCCTACCATGTCTGATATTTTGAGTGAGCTCTGGAGATTGAGTCCCTCATAGGCATACCAAGTGCTATGTTAGGCATTATTAATATTCAGGAGTCAGCTGCTAGGGAAGAACATAATCCTCAGCTTTTCTTTCTTTTCCAGATATGGCTGCACTGAACCTTAACAATGGTTCTAGTGGAGCTTCGGATCAGGATACACTTGCTCCACTTCCACATTCTGCTGCTCCCTGGCCATTAGGCCAAGGATACCCATATCAGTATCCTCTGCCCCCTCCATGTTTTCCACCAGCATACCAAGACGCAGGCTTCAGCTATGGTAGTGGCAGTGCAGGGAGCCAGCAAAGTGAAGGTAAGGTAGTTAATCTGGTATGTATTTCTACAATTGCCATTATCCCTGGCCATTTGCTTGAGCTCCCTGATATTGTCTGTGCTCCTGTCTTGTGGTTTTGTATGCTATCTGCATGGTTTAGTGTGACTGCACTTAATCAAAACTGTTTGTATATGTGATGGAATGGGTTAGCCTTTCAGCTCTGTATTGAAACTGCCAGTGACATCCGAAGTAAGTCAGTGCTATGTACTGTTTTCAGTTACGCTGGTGTTTTGGATCCCATACAGAAAACCAATGGGGAACTAGAGCCAAGCTCTTCATTGTATCCAGGGTAGCTTGGGCATCTGTACCTTTCCTACTCAACAGCACCATACAGAAAACTGCTGCTTAGATAGTGCTGATCAGGTCAACATTAATGACTCCATCCTCAGCCCTGTTAAACAGATGTGTAAATATTAGCATTGCCTCTTTTTTAGAGGTCAGAGCCATTGCTGTCAACGGGGGCTACAGTCGCTTGATATCACTTGAAGTCAGGCCATTGGTTGCTGATGGAACAGGGAATAGAACCAAGGTGCTCTTGGCTTTTACTTAAATACGGAGTGTGAAAGGAAAATCACCCTCCTCATTTGTGTGAGACAAGCGTGAGGCAGCCAGACTGATGGTTTACAGGGCTGAAATACTGCTCACAGGGAGGAGAGTCTTTTTTGTAATATATGGTAGGGGAAAAAAAAGGTAATACTGTATGGATTAAAAACCTGACCTCCTCCTTTCCTGCTCTAGGATCATGTTATGATTCGTTTTTAAAATGTAGTAAATAAAAAGAGTCTTATTTTATGGCTGTCCAGAAAATGCCCCACTGTTTTGGGGGTTTTATTTTGTCTTTTGTTTTAATAATTTCTAAGTCGAATTTTGCTTTTGAAAATGCTGCCAGTAAAGTAAGGGTGAGGATTCTCTGTGCTTTTATGATAAACATCCAATAACTTGGCTGTAGCTTCTTCACGTTTACTGCAGCCAGTTAGATTTTTGCAAATTTGGGCAAAAGAATTTCATTAACAGGAACTTGTTCATAAGATTTTAGCACTACTACTTCCCACGTTATCTCAAAATATGAATCCTCTGTGAGGGAGCTCACAGCAGTGTTCAGAAGTTTTAAAACTGCAGGTTGATTGTGTTGGGAAGGATTTGGCTTCTTTGGCAGCTGGTTCTGTGGGCAGTAGACCACTGCTGCTGGAATAGGAAAGGTACAGAATTTTATCCATGCAACCTGTTACCAGTACAGAAGGCCTTGTGAAAGGCACCAGGAGTGTTTAATTTTGAAGAATTTCAACTCTTTTCTTGTTCGTCTTTTGGAAACTACACTGCTGTGTTGTTTCTTGTTTTGTAACTGTTATTCCCTTGTTTTGTTCTGAGCAAGCATTAGACTGAAGGATTCATAAAGGAATGGCTGACTCTAGGGGATTGGTAAGCTTCAAATGCCTCCATAATAATAATGAATTCACAGCATGATCATTTAGACTCTTGTGACCCAAATGTTTAGCTGTATTTTTTCTTTTCTTTTTAGTTGTCCTAGGCTCTCAGCCTGTCTCAGTGCACAGTAGTCTAATACCGTGGCATTAGCAGAGTGAGCTCTTGGACCGCTATGTGACTGTGCTGCAGTAGCCAGCGAGGGAGTGGCATCAGATACCTCATTGTCAGCTCAGATGGGAAAATGCTATCACTAGTCTCTTCATTGTCCTTTTAAAAAAAAAAAACAAAAACAAAACCAAAAAAAACCCAGCTCCTAATTTAATAGTCTGATAGCATCTATCTGGATTGGATATGTCTACCAATGCCCTTCAACTACAGGTTTATTGAAAAACTTCAGTGTTCTCCATAGGTCTCAGGCAGGTATTAGTAGTCCTGGTCCACAAAGTTATGCTGGTAGATCTCGAAATGGAGAGTTAGAATTGGGTTCTTCCTATCCAAATTCGTTGGGTGGATGAGGGCGCTGCTCCAGAGCCAAGTAAATCAGTCCCGTGTTTTAGAGATGAATGCAACATATTTTCTGATGACTGCAGACAAAAGCCCAAGATATGGGACAAGAAGCAGATCCAGATGTGTTCTGGGAAACAGCAGGTGGAGAGGAAGATTTAGCAATGTTTTATGTGATGTTTTGGTTCTGTTCAAGGTTCTGTTCCAGTGTAGGTTGCTGCTTATTTAATCTGAGCCATGCCATTTGTCTCTGCTTGTGGTATCCAGGGCTTACGTTGTTTTAAAAGGCTTGGGCGGGCCTGCTGAAGGGAAAGACACAGGTGTAGGGACCAGATCCTCTGCAAAACATCATCTCGATTGCAATAGTGTTTAGACCAGTCACATCCCTGCTCTGCTAGATACATACTGTATAGATGATCCTGTTAGAGATCATCAGGTTACGGTCTAAGGTGATGAAAGAAGTAGGGTGGGAAATTGATGTCCAGAAGAAGGATTTGTTCAAGGTCTTAGGATGTCAGTTGCTGAGATGGGAACGATAGAAGGGTCTTCAAGTGCTTCTGTCCACTAGATCATATGTCTCTGGAGGCTCTCCTGCCCCTGTTCAGGATGGTTCACATAAAAACTTTGCTGCTATGAAATGAAGTTTTGAGGCAGCTAAAGTCTCTGTGGCTTTAGGGGTTAGAACAATGGATGGCCTTTATGTCCAATGGTAGCAGAGCGAAGGCTGATAATACGTCGTAGCAATGCAAAGTGCAGCTTTTCTAGGCACTTGTAATGCAGATTCTTTGACCCCATTTTCTGATACTCAGACTTAAAGTTGGCTTTTGAAGCAAAAAGCACTGTCGCAGTTGTGTCAAGTTAATAGTAATTCAGACCTTAGCTTTAGGGTGGGCTGTGTGCCTCCAAGACAGGCCAGCCCCCAGCTGCCAAGGAGGTGACGCTGTTATTAAATTACCTTTAAACTCAAGGCGCAGAAGGGCTTTCTGGTTATTTGTTCTGTGTCAGGATTTAAAAGCATGTCAGGGAGAGTGAACCTCAGCATGGCCAGAGGACTAGGGCTATGCTGCTGATTATTTTTAGATAGACTGGTAGATGGTTTCTGTGGGGTTTTTTGTTTGTTTTGGTTTTTTGTTTGTTTTGTGTGGTGTGTGTGTGTGTGGTTTTTTTTTTTTTTGGTTGGTTGGGGTGTGCTTGCTTGTTTTTGAGGGAGTTTTGGGGAGATTTGTTTTGGGTTTTTTGGTTTGTGTGGCTTTGTTTTTGGTTTGTTTTGGGTTTTTTTGTTTGTTTGGTTTGGTTTTTCTGCTGCTGTGCAATCAGCTTGGAGTGCAGCTGCAGAAAGCCAGGTTCTTCTAACGTAAGAAGTCTATATTAACCACTTGACCTCTTGGAGTCTTGGCAGATTAGCTAGAGATGCTACCCCAGACAAACTGCAGTTTAGAATAGCAACATGATGGATTGCCACAAGGCAGTCCCAGTCCTACAGATGTTCTCTGTGGGAAACCTCTCAAGATCAGTAATACATGCTCTCAGTGCAGTCTTGTCTCTCCTCTGCCTGATCTTTACTCAGCTATAGGGTATAGAACTGGTGAGGAATTCTTGTGTATAAGGAGTTTACATCAAGGAGTGATGACTTTGGGGATGATTTGCAGAGTTGGGGTGGGAGGCAACAGGATGCCTCATGGGATAAAGGCTGAGGTATGTTAGCGGAGGAAGGGTGAAAATAATATTAGGAATTTTCTTCCACTGTAACTGATGTGCTGTGCTGGAGAGCTTACAGAGATGCTTCTTGGAAATAGAACCCTACAGCAAGGTTCGTGTCTCTTTTGTTAAGAGTCTGTGGATGATCAGGAGAGGTCAGTAATAATTAATACCTTGTGATAGGTACTCTATATTGTTCCATATCTGCTGTCTCTAGAGTAAAAGCTGTAACAGTCAGCCTGCTAACAAGTAGTTTAGCTGTTCTTATTTGTCTGTACTAGATTGTTAGGAGACATTTGAAGCAATAGCTCAGAGAGTACTTTACCTCTTCAAAAGGCTCATCTACATGAATCCTCATAAAGTTTGGTGGAGGTAGCTGAATGCATGTCAATATATCCATTTACAGATGGAAGAAAACTGAGGCACAAAGCAGGACAGTATTTTTCCCAGAGTAGAGAGGAGCTGATAGGGGTTGCGGTCAGCAAGTAATACTTCAGAGTCCCAGGCTCAGATTACTAACTCCAAGCTTGGTGACTCTGTATTCTGTTTTCCATCTATCCCCAGCTTCTCCTGCGCTCTGCAGGAGAATCTGAGCTTTTCAGCATCTCTGGTCAGTCTGGTTTTCCTATCTCGTCGTCTTGCCTGCTCTAAATATAGGCCCTTGCAGGTGGAGGGAAGTGATCATCTGTAGTTTAAGAAAGGAGCAACTCAGAATCCTTCTTCCTTGTTTCCTATTTCAGTAAGCCCAGTGACTGGCTCATTCTGTCTGAAAAACTGTCTCTCTATTCTGCTGGCTGGGGATCCTTTTTGGGAAGACAATCTTGCACTAAGGGCTTTGGCTTAAGTCATATTATTTAGTTCCAAACACTTTGGATATTCTGGTCTTTAAAGACAAAAACAAAAAAAAAATTGCAAGTGTATCCTATCTTATCTTTGTCCTGCTTATCTTTCATGATAACACAGAGCACGATCTTTAACTTTCATTTAAAAACAGTTCCAAAGTTTAGTGAAGCTTATACATAGCTACAGCTCAGCTTACATACCAGCAGCAGTTGTTTATCCTTGCAGATTGATTCAAATATAATGGCCTCTGTTAGGAACATCCTGCATATTTTAAAATCTAGATAATTGTATTTACTGATTCATTGCAGACCAGTTCAACAAATAACTGTTTTTTGAAGAATTCCCCAACAACAAAGCAAAGTTGTGATGAGATTGTTTTTCAGAGACTCTGCCTTGACCCCTCTGAGGCCTGCAAAAGGACATCTTTTAACCTCAGGGTGATTTTGCCCTGAATGAAGCTGTCCAGTGTGACCAAGAATGACACAGGAGAAATCAAATGAGTTTCCTTTTGAAAAGTGTACACCAACAGAAATAGCAAAGACAAAGACAGTTAAAATTAGCTTGAACCTTGTTTGCTTGTGAGTCAGAAAACAAATGCCTGCTGCTACATTCGATTTGTGTTCCTCCCCTCTCTCCAGTCATTGAGAAGGCATGTGAGCAGATGGTTTTTAGCCAGTAGTTCTAAACTAGCCCTTGCTTTCACGGTGCAAGCTCTGGAGGTGTATATGTGTACCTGTGCATGGCACAAATTTGTTGCTATGTTCTACCGATTGTCACTGCTAAATCCCATACGCCATCAATAGCACGCTGAGGCCTGATTTTACCATCACTGTGGTCACATATGGATCTGTGGGTTTTGGTAGAAGATGATGTGAAGGCAGCAATGGAATTGAGATAATTCTGCTTTTTTGTGTATCCCTTTCACTTACGGGTTGTAGGAAGCAAAAGCAGCGGCTCGAACCGAAGCAACAGCGAGAACAGCAGGAGAGCTCTTGGCAGAGAGAAGGACCGCAAATCGGCTGGCAGTGGCAGCGAGTCTGACCACACCGCCCGCAGCGGGGGTGGCGCCAGCGTAGTGCGTCGGGAAAGGCCTGTCAGCCAGCTCAGCCACCGGAGTCATGTCTCTGCCACCCACAGCGAGAGAAGCCACCACAGCCATCACTCGTACGGGCCTCCAGGAGTCCCACCCCTCTACAATCTCCCCAAGCTGGGTTCCAAAGTCTACGGGACAAGCGGGCCCCCTGGAGGGCCCCCCGTGAGGGAACTGAGCTCTGTTCCTCCAGAGCTAACAGGGAGCCGGCAGTCCTTCCAGAAGGCTATGGGCAACCCTTGTGAATTCTTTGTTGACATCATGTGAGAAGAAGTGCCTTCAGACTCTGCTTGGGGGGAGGGCTGGGGTGGGTTGTTTTTTTGTGGGGATGGGATTTGGGTGTTGTTGAACACTTAACAGAAGAAACTTGGCTGTCTTGCATGTCTCACCTTCCTGGTTTGCAGTTGTGTGTTGCAGAAAAAACAACAAAACAAAACAAAAAACACAAAAAAGGCAAGCAAAAAAAATCTTCTGGAATTGTTAAATATCAGCAAATTGATAGCATCTTTTTCTTTACCCTTTTGTTTTTCTTTCTTCCCCTCTTGTTTCTGATTGTGATTGACTGGTGTATATTCACAACTTAATGGTCTTTGGTAATTGTGGCACCTACTTTCAGTGCAGTTAGTGTGTCTTTTTGGCTGACGCAAGGACTAATATTTCATATAACTTCCAAATTTCCCATAATGCATAGTAGCATCCTTATTCACCCACCCACCCCCCCACACACCCTTTTTCTCTTACAAGAAAAAATGACTGTTGGGTAGTATCTTTGATACTTCCCTGTAATGACGTTTCTTGTACGTGTCAGTCAGTGCTCTAAGCAGATACAGCATCTGAAAGTGTACAGACAGCACGTGTTTGGAAAGGATCAGACTCAAACCAGTTCCCAGCAGAAGACAAAGCTCTGACTACCTTCTTCTGTTGACTAGGGAGTATAAATCAACCCTTTTTTTTTGTGTGTGTGTGTGTGTGTGCGCGCGCGCGCGCGTGTATGTATGTTTTTGTTGTGGTTATTTTTAAGATATTATCCTATCAAGGAAGTGGTGGAGTCTTGCTACTGTATGTGTTCATTGTACAGAACTTGTAATGTTATTTCATTTTGTTTCATAATGGTGACTTTGTCGCTGCAGTCTGTTCATGGGCATTTCAGTCCTATCCCTGCTGACGGATGTGTCCATTTTTTCTGGTTGTAACACACACTTGCATACTGGTTTTAAAAGTTGTTTCCACAGAAATAGAACAATTGCTGCTACCTCATTCATAGTGTAGCTGCAACTCTTCCCTTTTAAAGGGAGCATATATCCCATCCTAGCAGAGAGGTAGGTGAAACCTTCCCCCCCCCCCCCCCCCCCCCGCCGGGCGTCGCTATTAGTTTTGATCACCTCTTTCCGTTCTTCATTTCTGAACAGTGTTTTTCTCTTTTCCCAGCTTCATCTCTGCATTGAAATACAAACCTGGAGGTGGCTAATCCCAATTGCTGTGTTACTCAAGTGGACATGCTCTGAATGTAGATGGGGGCTAGCTATTAGCAGAGAGGCAAGGAGATGTTTTGAGAAGAGTCCGTAAATGGTACAAAGATTGAATCTTTATAACTGACAGAGTGAGACCTATGCTAAAGACCATGCTCCTGCTGGGGAGCTTTGGCTTAAGCAACTGCTGTGTTGCATATCCCCAAGATTTCATTACTGCATGTTTTTGGCTCTGAGGCTATGGGCACTTGATAAAATGTGTTCAGGAACCTTAACTGAAGCTTCAGAAGCTTTTCCAAAAGTGTCCGAGGGCATGTTAAGATACACCCAGTTACGGTGGCTTATTTAATAGGAAATAATATGTTAATCTGCAGTCACTTAGTGGCATTTGACAATGGGGCTGTGCCTCAGTTAAATCCTCCTTTGTGAGATAGTTATTCCTGACAGGTTTTAGGACAGGTGCTTTAAAATCAGTCTTTACTGTATATAAGCATTTCCTTCCCAAATAAGAAGCTTCTTTCTGTTATGTTCTGTGCTTTATGGATAGTTTGAATATCTGATACGAATGTCAGAAAAGTACATCTTTCTTCCTGTATACGTGTAGTTTCGCATTCCCTTGTCACCTTGAAAAATTACTTCTCAAACTGTCCATTTTGTATGTTGTTTATTCTGATATATTTTGCTACTTTTTCTTTTCTTTTTACAGATTTATGGGTGTATAAGCAGATAACCCTTTTATAAAGCTCAGAGTACATTTTCAAATGTTTGTGTTACTTGGAGGCCTAAGTCTCATTTTCGAAAGGAATCTAAGCATTTAGGAAATTGTACCACTCAGATGAGGTACCCAATTTATTGAGCTTCTAAACTAGCTAAGTGTTTTTGGAATAGTTGCTGACCAAAAATTCCCCCAAAAGCTATTATCATGTTTCAGACAGTGGTGCTTTCCTTGTAATCCATCTGCAGGGCTAGCATAAATTGCAAACTTGGTGATGATTTGTTCAAAAGATTGACACTATCTAAAGCTTGACTGTGCAACAGTATTCTTTCTTTTCCTTTTCTTCTTCCCCCAGAAATGCAGCAAAGACGCTAACCAAACGCAGTAAACCATTTGGAAAGGATTGACATTTAAAACAGTGAAATAAATCAGGGTAAAATAAGTCTTTGGCTCCTGTGTCTCCAAAGACACCATTATGGAGTCAGTAACTTTACTGACGATCACTAGGGGTTCTGTTTTTAAGTCAATTTTAACTTTTCTGATCTCTTACTATGATTTTTCTGTCCTCCTTGGTCTTAAGGCAGAACTTACAGGACAGAAGGAAAAGACGGTCATTTTAGTAAGGTATTTCCAAAAGGGATAAAGGCTGGGGGCAGAGCACCCAATGAAGCCAACATGCTTAATTTCCTCACATCTTTTGAAGAGTTGCAGTATACGCACTTGCTTTTGTGTGTGTGTGTGTCTGTGTGTGTGTGTGTGTGTGTGTTGTGCTGTTAGCAGAAACTGTTCTGTCTCTTGTTGGTGTCTGCTGCTATGTTCAAATGACTGTATTATATACTTCCATGTGTGTGGGTAACTCTGAAATGAGGCTGACAGTTGATAACATAGATGTGGGAAAGTGTTTGGAGAGGAAATCAGGCTGCTAAATCCGCCTCTGTCTGTGGGTTAGAAATCTGTGTGATCCATCTACCTGAACTGGCTCCATCCAAGATCAGGTATCTTGTTTCAGGCAAAATATTAAGTGCTCTGAATGTACTGACAGATGTGCTAGGGGTTGGTTAATACTGTACAGCATGTAGAGCCCGCTACCTACGAAGAGCAATAGAATGTAAATGCCCGTTCTGTGAACAGTGCAATACAAGTGGCCATTGCATGTAAAGCAAAAGGTTTTATGTTTCTTCTCCTCTTGTAGTGCACAAAGGAGCTCCAGTAGAGGGGCTGGTTTGAGTGAATAGAAAGCTAAGTCTGAAATATTGCTATCTCTTCATTTTCAGAGGGGCATGAAGACAGGAGATTTCCCAAATCCCATCCTTGCCTTTCAGTGCATGTGCATTTCTCTCTGTAATATGGGGGCCCTGGGGCTTAACTGTGCAAGTCTCTACTATGGGATGAAGTACTCCCTGCAGAAAGAAGTGCCTCTGAAGTCAATGAAGTTACTTATAATAGGAAGTAGTTAGCAGGTGGAAAAGAATTTGAAGGCTGAAGTCCTGCAAAACTGTGCATTTCTCATATCAGGACCAGAAATATATCTCTCATTTTAATGTCAAGTAACTGGCACTGGCTGGGCTCAAGAACGTAAGACCTACCCCTACAATTACAATGAAAAGTAGTGGCTTTGCTATGCAAGGCATTCAAACAACCTCACAACAGGAGTCATAAATAGTGGACATTGTTATAATTCTGCAAATGAGACCTTCAGCATTTGCCTGTGCTCTGCAGCTGGGCTCAGTATTGATGCATATCTACCTGCAGCTTTTAGCAAGGAATAACAGGTATGTTTGAAGATCTTAGAAAATAAACGTGCCAAATAAACAGTTTGGGATGACACCTCCTATGCGAGTGGGAGGGTAAGGCACCCACCTACTGTATTAACTTTCTGAGGTGCAAGTTTTTTGGCAAATAGTCTTAAAAGCACTGCTGTTGCCTTTGACCTCCCATTAGTAAATTTACTTTTCGAAGGTTACGGTCCTCCAGATGCTTTATCCAGAGGTATATTGGGTGGCAAGCAATGATGCACAGACATTGACTGTTGATATTATTTTTGTTCTATTTGAATGGGCAGTTCCATCTTGAGACTGACAGCTCATGAGTTGATGTAATTGTTTTTGTTTTGCATTTAACTGGATTGTAATAAGATTGACTTAAAATTATTAATTCTAATCAGTGATTAGAAATACATGTAAAGAATTTTATGTACAGTAGAGGAAAAAAGTTACATGATTTTAAATAATGAAAACCCAGACTATCACCTATTCTAGAATTGGTTCTACTCAAAGAGTGACCTCTTACTAGCATGGACTGCACTGTTCCTGTTAAATGTCTATTGCATAATTGAATTCTTTTTTTGTAGATATTGTATTAAAACTCAAGTGTCTATATAGTTAATATATAGCTGCTTATGTGTAAATGCTATTTTAAACACTAAAAAGCTTTTAATTTTATGTGATAACTGCAATATGTGTCTTCAGTTCTTTGCACTACTGCATTACCTTTTATTCAAGAACCATGAAGTGTTGCTTAAATCTTACTCTCGTTTTTTGTTCCTCTGCCACAAGGAAGTTATGTCTTCTTTACAGGAGAAGACTGTTCAGGAACTAGAGGTAGGAAACTGGGAGTTCTGTGTTTTAACAGTACTTCAGAAGTGCTGGCAAATGAAAGTATGACAGGAGCCCTGTAAATGTGCACATCTAAACTGGGTCACGAATGAAAGAAATGCGGAGACCTGACTCCCCTGTGCAACTTAATGACATCTGACTGGTAGCACAAGACCCTGCCATTTGTCAGAAGTGCTGTAGTTTTGATCTAACGACTAATATACTGGTGTAGAAATTGTGCTTTTCCCTTGAATTTCCCCCACCTCTTAATTACCAGGCTTCTCCCTCTCACAGACACCTTGTTTGGCAGGAGTAGGTACACAGGGAAGGCTGAAGAAAGGTTGTGGAATTAAAGGACAGCTGGAGGACACAGCCTATTACAAAGACATCAGCTGGAACAAGTTTTCATGCCTGCAGACCCAGGAGATGAATCCGCTGGTAGAACCCGTCAGTGTATTCAGCTGGTGCATGTGAATATTCCCTTTGTTCTGGACTCTGTGCACAAACTCCAGCAGAGACAAGCTAGGATCGTTAGGATGTGACTTTGCAGACCAACTGGTAAGCCTTAAACCACAGTGAACTTACCATGCAAGGTAAGGGTACCCAGCCTTCTTGTAAGGTCTGAGTGGTTCATGTACCAAGAACATCCACAGCCTAATGGGGCAGGTTCCCTCTTTTTAGCTGGTAGAGATCAAGCAGAAGGGGGAGGGACAAAGTAGTAATCATTGTGCAGTGCACCCATTATAAATGGCACAGTTCTGCAGCAGATGTATATAAAAGATTGTGAGGCAGAGTCTTGAAGAGTTTCCCATATTCCCCCTTTCAAACCATATTTGCATAAAGGTGCTTTACAATGAGCAAAATGGTCTAGCCAGCCTTTTCACAGTTAGGTGGCTATGACAGAGATCTGAATTTTGGACCTACTCTTGCAGCCTATGCTTAGCGTTGTATCCTGGGGCTTAATGGATGCCAGCTGACCCAGTATGAATCACCTGCAGGTGACAGGAATTGGCAGAACGTTCTAATTAGCTAGTAAACCCCCC